CTAACATTAGACTCAAGGATTGAGTCATTCTAAAGAAAACCAGTGGGGAATGTAATAGCTTGCTGAAATGTAAAAGGGTTAAAGAATAATTAAAACCTGAAACTGGACAAAGGAAGTCTATAACTTAGGCCTAGTTTCTGGAACCCCTAACCACATTCTGTTAATCATGAAACTTATAACAATGAACTCATACACTAACTGCCAATTTTAGCCTATGTAACCCTGCTTGCTTGCGTGGCATAAAAAATAATCAATTGTATATAAGCTAAAAATTACTGTTTGGCCATCGCCCATGGGAACACTGGCTATAGCCCATGGGAACATAGGCAATCACCCATAGAAACATAACATTCTAACAACAAGCTTTCTGCTTCTGTACTCCCCGCTTGCACACCTGACCAGTGGGTTGACAGGTAATGAATAGGAGAAAGATGGACCTTTGTGTTTAAGACAGAATGAGGAATGGGATTTGGGGCTTAAAAACCTTGTATCTTGGCAATTCGAGGCTGCTCCTTTGCAAGGACAGCCGCCGGCTAATAAACTGTCTCCTGGTTAAGAACACTCAAGTTGGGTCTGGTTATTCTGGACACAACATTTGGAGGCCTTCAAGAAAGAAATGGATTTAGAATTAGGGAACAGGCTCATATGTCTGTATATCTTGTTGAAGAGTTTGAATTTTTATCTTCAGGGCAAAAAGTATTCATCAAAGGGTTTTAAACAGGGTGGGACCATATTTGCATCTTAGAAAACCCCTTGTGGCTCTGGGTGGAGGACAGGAAGGGGCAAGAGTCAGACGGGACAGGAAACTGTCAGAAGGCTGCCTGGCAGTGAAGCAGAGGAGGCTGAGGACAGCACTGTACCAGGAATGGCAGTGAGAGGCCACAGCAAAGTGACCCCACAGGACCTGGCACCTGACATAGAGGGTCAGGATGGAAGTTGAGAGAAAAGATGTGTCCAAGAGAACCCCCAAGCTTCTGGCTTGGGCAACGGGGTAGTGTCACTCAGATGACACCAGTGCCCATGAAACAGCCAAGTGGAGATGGTTACTCAGTGCCTGTAACTAACAGCTCTATATCACTCTCCCTTGTGAGGAGTGAAGAAATAAAATGGTCACTCTAGCCAAGGTGCTAAATTACTATAATCAAGTAGGCTGAGGTCTGAGGAGACAATTCTACTTTTGCTTTAATTAGCCAGGAAATTAAATTTTTGAACTCTCTAGTTATGCCTGGAAATTATACGTATACATATACATATTCTATAGATAACCTTCTAATTACTCCCTGAAGGACTTAGGAAA